GGCTGCTACCACATGGCACAACCAGCGCTGCCAGCTCCCTGCATCACCCCTCACCACAGCAGTGTGGAGGCATTTACTCCCCATGGGAGGTTTCCTCACTGGAAATGATCCGTTAAAAGCTGCCTCAGGAAAAGGGACACGAAGAAAAGAAGAATCCAGTCTCTAGGTGCTGTTTTGAGAGCAAAACGCAAGCCTCAGATGCACGCTGCAGGATGCTGTCCTGGGCTCTTTCACCGGCTTTAATGTCCCCAGCCTCTGAGAAAACACCCCAGAGAAATCCAAGGTGAGCCTTTGACAGGGGCTCAGGAGGCTGTTATGTGCTGAGCACCCCTTTGGGGCAGGGGGCCTCCAGAACCAGCCTTCCTTGGGGCTTGCCCATAGCTCCTCAGCACATCGGAGACCGCCGGTGCTGCCACACAGCGCTGACCAACAAAGGTGCTTTCTCAGCGCTCCACCTCCACACGAGGGAACTCCTTGAGGTGCTGCCGCCCCAGCTTTGCCATGCAGGGCAGCAGCAGCACCTCATCCCATCTCACTGACGTCAGTGGTTTTCCCCTCGCCGGCTGCTGAAGCCCTCGCACCACCCGGCTTGTGCAGACAGGTCCATGGAGCAGCCTCTGGCACGCTGCAGGCCACAGCGGTTGCTCCTTGGTTCCGTCCTGCACAGACACCCTGTTGGGTTGGGGCACCCCATAGGGCACCCCTTCCCTCGCTGGCTCGTGGCTGCCACTGACTCACTGATGCTCCGGTGTGGCTTCCACGTTGGCTTGCACTTGAGTCGATGAAAATCCTAACTGTAAGGTGTAGGAAACAAAAGGTCCTTTCTCTCGGTTAGAGGAGGCTGATTAACATCCCCCTGGGGGAATCCAAGGGCCTCGTCACCCTCCCGGTGCTGCTTGTTCCAAGCCCAAGGGTGATTCACCTGGCGGAGGCTTCGGAAGCACTGAGGTCTCTGCAGCGCACACGTAGCAGTTAAAATGAGCCCTGCAGTGCCAGGGTCAGTGGAGTGTGAAGAGCTGCCTCCTCAGCATCCGTCTGTCCTCATGCCCCCTGTGCTGCGCGGCTCACAGCATCACGAGTGCTGTTGCATGCTCCGGGCTCAGTGCTGTTGAGCACTGCTACCCGCTGTGCCCACAGGCCCCAAAAAGAAGGGCTCAGGATGCCTCTGGGGATGTTTGAAGGTGGCAGCAGGACCTAATCCCAGACCTCAGTGAATGCCTATGGTCCTCTCCCCTGCCCTGCGCTGCTTGGTGGGCAGGTTGAGGTCCATCCAAGCGCAAAGCCGGTCAGGCATCCCTCAGAGGTTTCCCTGGGAGCTGCCTGGACTTGCTCTGTTGGTGGCAGTTGTGCCATCGATTCTAGGCAGGTCAGAGCCCTCTGCGGCTCTTCAAGCAGGTATTCCAGTGTATATCACGTTTGCTTCATCTCTGAAGGCCCCAGAGGAGGGAGGAAGGCTGGAGGGTGGGGAGGAGGAGGGAGGAAGAAGAGAGCAGCAGTCTGCTTCCTGCCCAGATGCACTGCTCAGTCACTTCTGCAGCTTGAGGCACGGAGCCATTCACTTCTCAAGTGCCAGGCTTGGAGCCGGTGATGGGAGGGAGGTGGCCTCAGTGCTTAACACAGGACACGAGGCACAGCATTGCTGAAGGGCAATGGGGCAGAGCAGGTGCTGGGGCCAGCTCACGGGTTTTATTTGGGGTGCTTCAGCTGTCAAATCAATACTTGGTCTTTTATAAGCACATCCCAGGTAGAGCCATGCTTGGAGAGATCTGCGCTGCACAGGCGGGTCCGTTTTAGTTGAGAAGAGGAGACAGAGCTACCAGCAGAGGTGGGGGCAGAGGATTCCTCTGCGGATGTGCCATGGGGTGCTCACAGGGACCTGGAGGAGCAGCCTGCTCCTGTTGGGAATGCCAATCTGCAAACAGCCCCTGCCACCTTTCCACCATCCCATTCCACCTCGGAGGAGCTGCCTTACCGTGAGTTTCTCCGCCTGCACAGCTATGTAAGACTCTTAGGATAGGTTGTTTGTTAATCATGTTTGGGGCCTTCGGGGTGGGGAAACCCAGGAGGAGGCAGAGGCTTGTCCACAGTGGGATTTTTCCAGCTCTGTCAGCACACCCTCACAGTGTGCAGACGCTGCTGCTCAAATACACAACATCCTCCGTAAATCCACTCAACCCAGGCTGTGACTGGGATAACAAGCCCTAGTGCAAGCCCATTTTCACACCTGGGCAGGACAGGCTGTGGTTAGTGATCCATCAGGGCAGGGCAAAACACGCTGCTGTGCTGGCAGGGCCCCCAGTGCACCTCGTGGGTTTATTGCTGTTAATCTTCCATGCGGACGGAGATGCAAGGTCTTGGTAAAGGAGCCACGGAGCATCTTGGCTTCCCTGCAAAAGCAGCAAAGTCAAAGCCAGAGGAAAATGATAGGTTTTTTTTTCAGAGGGGTCTTGCAATATCGTGTTTGCTTCAGCACTTGGCGAGGAGGTGGACAGCACTGCAACAAACAAGCCCTTTTCTATAGCAACTGGTCCCTCCAGGACACCTCCGAGGGGCTTACACAACGCAGATGGAAAAGCACTGAGACGTGAAAGCCTGTGCTGCAGACTGAAAGCAATGCTCAAAACCCAACCCAGGATTTCAGTTTGGCTCTGTCAGTGCCAACAGCAGTAACAATCCAATACCCTCTGAAGAGGAATTGCATCAGGCCGGGGCTGAGAGGCCCCTGCAGGCCCGGGGCGAACGGGACGGGATGTTAGAACGCAGCAAGCAGCTTTGCATCACCAAATCTGGCTGCTCAGCACCTTCTGGCTAACGAGGCATGAAGCAGCCACGGGCTGGAGCTGGGGCGGTGGGACAGGGTGGTCCAGCGCAGGCTCGCTCTGGGATGGGCTCAACCCTGAACCACACGCTCCATCCTGCTGACACAGGGTTTATCTTACCAGGGCTGCAGAGCTCAGGGAACAGTGTAGAGGCTCAGCCTTGAGCAAGTCCAGAGGAGGTCATAAAGATGATCCAGGGGCTGGAGCTCTGGAGCCAGGCTGAGAGAGCTGGGCTGGGGCAGCCTGGAGAAGAGAAGGCTCCTGAAGGGGAGACCTGAGAGCAGCTCCAGTGCCTGAAGGGGCTGCAGGAAAGCTGGAGAGGGGCTTGGGACAAGGGATGTAGGGACAGGCCAAGGGGAATGGCTTGAACCTGCCAGAGGGGAGACTGAGATGAGCTCTTAGGCAGAAGCTCTTCCCTGTGAGGGTGCTGAGGCGCTGGCACAGGGTGCCCAGAGAAGCTGTGGCTGCCCCATCCCTGGCAGTGTTCAAGGACACAGGGGCTTGGAGCAAGCTGCTCCAGTGGAAGGGGTCCCTGCCCGTGGCAGGGGTTGGAGCTGAAGGCGCTTTATGATCCTTTCCAAGCCATTCTATGAGTCTGTGATTCTACAACCTAACACAGATCCTGGTCTCCCAACACTGCCTGCTCCCAGCTGGAGCCTCATGCTGCGTGTGTGCAGCAACAGCGGTACTGAGCGTCCTCCAGGTTGCAAACACTGCCTGTCAGGTCCCCCATCAACGGGGAATTTTACCAGCCAGGAAAAAGGAAAGCTGCTGGGAGATCACTCACTCCCCTCTTCAGTCTTGCAGCAGGAAAGGGGCTGTGCTGGCAGCGTGGAGCACTGTAAATTCCAGGGATGTAAGGAAAGGAAGAAACAACCGCCAACAATAAATGAAACGTTGGAAAGATTGTAAAGTGAGATCAAGGAATTGAAAGGAAGGGAGTTTATATGGTGTCTTTCCTGATAAAATCGGCCGTTTCAAAGCGTCCCTCCGCCGTGTGGCAGCGCTGCCGCCAGCACAGAGCATTTCTGGGAGCAGAACAGGCATTTCCCCCGAAAACGGGCATTTCACATGTGGGATTTCAAAGGCTGCCGCGTGGCTCTGTGCCCATTGAAACTGGAAGAAAGCCTTGAGCCAAAACGCACAGCCATCCAAAATGTGGATGGCTGGGGATTATTTCTTCCCCTCCGTTCCCAACGTGGGAATGCTGAACGCAGCACTCAGGCCGGGCTGCTCAGCGACGGACACTGCACAAGCAGGGACTTAGAGGCACAGTTGCCTTTAAATACACTCTTGAATCAGCTCCCCGCTAATGCGCCAGCAGATAATGTGCTGAGGGTGTGGGCAGACCCAGGTCTTGGTTTAGCTCAGGCCAGAACAGCCTTAGAAGGCTATAGCCGCCCTTTAGCCAGATGTGATGGGAGATCATTTCTTCCCCTTTGCACCCAGTTGGACCCATCTCACCCCGTGAGGCAGCGCCTTTGCCACCAAGGCAGTGACACAGGGCCAGGCTGTAACCTCGCAGGCTGCTCCTCCCGATGACAGCTCTGTGGGTGCCCTCTGCACCGAGGAGGAGCAGGGAGACACCACAATTGCGATGCTCCAAATGGAGCTTGTTCTCTCTCCACACCCATGAAAATAAATGGATGCAACTAAGATAAAGGAATAACCAAAGGTCACAGGACCCCTTCCCAATGCTGGCATGAGCTGGATGAGGTACCTGGGACTTCCCTGGCATTTGGGTAAATCAGAGGGCTCGAACACACAAAGGAGCATCATGAGTCAAGATGGTTGCACTTCACTGCTGCACTTCAGCAGAGGCTGAATCAAGACAAGGGTTTCAGGCCAGGGAGGGAGGTTGAAGCCCGGTCCCTGTCTGCTCTCCCTCCACAAGCTGTGAGGGGCCCATGCCATGGCTGGGTGCTGGTTTTTGGGCTACTGCTGACCCGGGTGGGACCTCATGGACAGGGCTGTCAATGGCAGCATCAAACCCTCAGCTGCTGCCAGCAGTTACCTTGCCCTGCACCAGCTGAAAGTCCTGAGCAGCTCGTCCGGGTCGCTCTGCCTCGGGCTGTGCTGTGCCCATGCGCTGGATGCTCCAGCTGTATCCCATCCCCTGGATCTTCCCTCTTGCATCCCACCTGGCCGGAGCAGGGCTGCACCCAGTGCACAGAGGGGCGGCGAGCGAAGCTCAGCCCAGGTGGGAGGGACTGGGCTCCCATTAAATCCAAGGCTCCCAGAGGACCGAGTCCTTCACGGACCCACCCTTGTGCTGAGTTTAAGAGCTCAAGGTGCTGTTGGAGGTGTTGCTGCAGGAGAGGGGACAAGCGGCTGCAGTGCAGGTATTGCTGAGTGCTTGCTTCAGGGGCTGTATCTGCTTTTCCAGCTCTCTCCTTCCATCCTCCATGCTAATGTTGTTTGCAGCTTGTATGCGTTCCTCTCTTCCATCGCTCCTCTTTCTTCTGCTGCTGCTTTGCGTTTAACTGGTGTTTATTCCTGTGCCTTGGGAGAAATCTGCTGCAGAGATCTTGAATAAGCCAAGACATGGTTGTTCCTGCCTGAACAACGCTGCTGGCTGGCAGAGAGACCAAGGGCTGTTTATCCTGGGTGGGGAATGTTGCTGGATGTTCTGTGGGAAATGCCACGGGCTTATGCTTTTTGCTTGGGTAGAGGGTTGGGGCTTTCCTCAGTCTTCAATGGGTTTTATTCGGTAGCAATTGCCTTTCTGATTCACGCAGAGCTTGAAGCTTTCCCATGATGTTTGCTGTACCAGTGGTGCGAGGTGCTCCACTCACTCTGAAGTGAATTCAGCCCATAGCAAGGAGGCAATGAGAGCACGTTCTGTGTGTACACAGGGCTTTGTGGTGTGGTGAAGTGTTGAGAGTCCAAGGCAATCAAAATGCCACGTGGTAGCAAGAAGTCAGAGGCAGTGCGTTGTCAAGGTTATTTGGTATCACTGTACTTTCTTAAGCCACTGACAGTAAAGTCACAGCACGGTGCCTCGGGTCAGTGTCAAGAGATGCTGTGAAACCACAGCTAAGGTCCTGGGATCCATCCTTGCCTAAGAGAGAAGCAGAACATCAGGGTTGTCCTGTGGAAGCTCCAGCCAGGAGCACTGCAGACACAGGGCTGCGCAGGCAGATGTATGGGCAGGAAGATGGAGTTCTGAGGAGGGGAGGAAGAGCACCGAGTCCCACCTTGTGCTGTTTGTCCCTTGCACCAAAGAGAAGAGCATGGAGCATGGTCTGTGGCTTCATAAGGTTTCAAGCCCTGGGGTGCAGTGCTGTACACTTGAGGGGATGTGCGTGGGGGAGAGCTGCTGTATGGTGTCCTTCTGGAACACTGAGAACCTGCAGAGCCTCCGTACAGCAGCTCCCATCCTCTCCCTTCCCTTGGCACCTCTGAGATGCAGGGAAAGGGCTTCCCTAACGTTGCAGCTTCCCTTGTCATTATACAGCCTAATGTGGGAAGGGAGGTGAGATGTGTCTGTGGTATCCGAAGGCAGCAACCCAGGCTGGTGCTCCGAGGAGCTTGTTGGTGTGACTGAGAGCTCTCATATTCCTGTAACTCATCTCAGATGCTCCTAGGATTAGCTAACTTAGTCTAATTTTGGACACGCACCCTCTTCCAAAGCTCCTCTTGCTGCCCGATGCCGTTGCTTCCCGTGCCCACTGCCCAGCCTGCAAAGAGCTGGAGGCAAACCCCTCCTGGCTGTGCTGGGACCTCTCCCAGGGATGGTGCTTGTCTCCTACCCAGACAAGCTCTTGCCAACGGGGAAAGAGCCATCCCGGGAGAGGAAAAGGGAACACGGCAGCGGGAGAGGAGCAGTTTCGACATTGCAAATAACCCTCCTCATCCAAAGCCCTGGAGACCCTGTCAAGCCTGAAATGTTGCTAAACAAGGATGCGCTGGGGCTGCTGGCAGGGGATCGCTGCAGGAGGTTGGCTGCTGCTGCCGGGCTGTGTTGCAGTGCTTCTCCCTGCCCCAGCAACAAGTCCCCCTTTGGCAATGGCCACACGGATGCTGCCCCATCGTGGGGCTCCGGGGGCTGATCGAATACCAAGAAGCTGTCAGGGATTTCATAAAGGCTTCTTTTGGCTGCTGGACCTCCTAACTAGTTCTTGTTTGAGCAAGGAGGGAGCTGGCTTTGTCTGACCATCACCCCTCTCAGCTGCCTCGTGCTCCAGAGGTGCTGGAACCCGCTGTAGCTGGAGGTATATTGGTGTTTGCTGTGCGATACTGCTCTGTGGGCAAAACACAGCATAACCATGGGAACCCTTATCCTCGCCCTCATCAGCACGACCTGCTAATCCAGGCAAGTCACCCTGCAGCCCTCCCCGTGGTTAAACTGGGTGTAATGAGCCCTGTAAATCTTGGGTGTCCCAGCAGCTCCTTCCACTCTTCCTGGTGCAGCTGGGTTTGCTGTGCTGGGGTCTCTGAGCAGACGGGGCACAAGGCTGTGTCCTGGCTCATACTGGGTAGAGCTGGAGCTGGGGGTCTCGCTGTGCTCCCACCAACGGCGCTTTGCTCTATGGGGGATCCATGGGGCCCACCACACGTGGCCGTTGGCTGGGCTGGGCTGTGCCTAGAGGGCTTGGCAAAGGCTGTGGGCTGTTAGGGAGCACCAGGGTGTGCCTGGCACAGCCCTGGCCCAAGGGCACCCGGATTCACCCGCCCAGGAGGCACCTCCAGACCCAGCTCCCACCTCCTGCAGCCCCACGCGGATGCTCCCACTCCAGCCCCAGTGCTGGCAGCCCCTTTGCACATCGGGGGGGCTTTGGGTTATCATAGCAGGGGCTGCCCCCCGAGCTGGGCTGGAGGAGGCGATGAGGACCGGGGTTACTGGGCTGAATCCTGCTTCGCCAAGCTGGGTGTCTTGGTGGGGTAAGCAGCTGCCCCACCAAGCGCCTTTATAAGCGTGTCCGTCTAAGCCTTCATCTGAAGGGGGATTCCTTTCCGCAGCCTGCTTCCAGAAGCAGGAGCTCTGTAATTTCCAGTCTAGATGTGTTTGTGGCAAGCTTATTTCCATTTCTGCCTGTGCTGGCCTTGTCTTCGCCCAAACAAATGCTCTCCTTCCCCCCGTGTTTCTGTGCAGCCAGGGAACGCTCTCAGGCTCGGATGAGCTCCCAGCCAAGCGCTGCAAGGCACGTCTGCAGCACTGGGTGAGCTCTGCCAGGGCTGCGATGCTTCTGCTGCAGTGCCGGTGCATCGTGCCCCGCAGCACGGCACAGACGTGCCATGGGCTGGTTGTGAGCAGCCACCTTGTCGTTAACCTCCTTCATCCCAGCCCTTTGCTTTGGCTCCTCCGAGCCCAAGAGCCTGCATGTGACGCTCGGGGCTCTTGCAAGGAGCCTGGGAGGGTTTAACCCAGAGAAGGGAAGGGAAATGAGGTTTGGAGGCTCCTTCTGGCATGAGATGGATCAAAAACTCAGGGCAGGAGTACAAGAGAGGAGGGAAGCTGTTGCGTGCATGCTCCTGGAACCCCCTGACAGTCCCGGTTCATGCATACTGCACGTTATTTCTGTACCTACTTAAATTAAAACCAGCCTTGTCTTGCGGACGCTGACTGGAGCCAGGCAGTTCTTGTCCCCGGGGGAGAATCCAATTTTCACTCCATCTCACTTGTGTTTTTGACCTGGAATGACTCTTCTTTTTATACTCGACAAACGCTCTCCGCAAGCCTTGCACTGTGCTGCACCCCTCGCAGCATCGCCTGTGGCACGCTGGCACATACGTGCTCCAGGGCAGGGAACCAGAAGCAGGCAGAGTGTGGACCTGTGCTGATGGCAGCTCCCCTGAGGTCCAGCTCTTCCCACCCGTTTTCTGGTAGATCCCAGCTGGCACTCCATAGGGATAACCTGCCCCAGGCTCTGGTCATCTCCCATCAGGATGGGACAGAGCTGGCTTGCAGACCCCAAATGCCTGGAGGGGCTGCCCCAGCTGTAGTATTGGTTAGCTCCAACTCGGAGATGCCATGTGCCTGGCTGATTCCCAGCTAAAGGCACAGCACTTGCCTCCCAGAGGTGCTTTCCTTCCTGCAGCACAGGTCTTGGTGCAGGACATGTCCTTGTCCTGAGCCTTTCTTCTGCGCCAGCCTGCTGGTCCTCTAAATAACATCTCTCAAGAGGCCCAGGAGACACAGTGGGGTCTGGGCAGGATTCTAAATGGGGCTGAAGTATTTATTCGCTTCCTGCAGTCCTTAAAAACCTCTCCTCGCTCTTTAGAGCGTGTTAACGGGGGTGACTCAGCCGCTCACCCAGCAGACAGCAGCAATGCTTTTGCTTCTAACGCACTAACCTCGGCGAGCGTGTGCTATTCTGGGTGTCTCTGCAGCGAGAGGAGAAGCCTCTCCAGGGTTATAGCATTCACCGAGGGCAAAGCCAGCCTGCCCTGAGCCACCTCGCCCAGCGCAGCACTTAGTCACCGCTCGGCAGACATGACGTACGGCGCCAGCCCTGCCCACGGCGCGATGGACCCACGGCTCTGCCTCTGCCCTGTGACTCCACAGTTAATCACCCCGAGATAGGAGAGCAAATAACTGCTTCGAGGCTGATGCAGGAAAGGACAAATACCGTGATAAGTGCAGCCCACTGCTTGTATGCATCACACACCAGCTCCACGCAGGGCACGCAGGAGCGAGCCCTGAGCTCTAGCATTATCTCCTGTCAGCGAGCCTTTGGCTCTGACTTTGTGGTCCCCACTGGTGCTGCCCTCCCTGAGGACCGGAGAGGATGGGCACGTTCCCATGCATCTGGCATACTGGGAAATGTACTTGGCTTTGATGTCCAAGCACCAAGACGCCGGGGTTTGGCTGCCCCGGTGGGTAGGAAGGGAGACAGGTTTATTTTCCTCCTCCTAAGGCAGAGTGAGGCTCCCTCAGCACGTTGGTGGCACTGAGGTTTGCTGACTGTGCCGACGAGCAGGAGGGAGAGCAGCAGCCGGGGGGGACCCCACTTGTTTGCAGATGCAGTTGCACGACTTCCCCCACCTCCAAACAGTGTCTGAGAACCCCCCAGAGGAACCCAGCTCCTGGCATGGGTCTTTTGGACTGGAGACTTAGAGAATGCTTTCTATCTAAAGCAAAGCCAGGGAGTATTCCGAATTTAATAGCAATCGGATTCCTAGAGAAAGCAGACACATACACAGGCTTCCAGGGCTCAGCTCGCATTGTGCCAGCCAAATAAACCCTCCAATTAAGTGTACACCCACTGCTCTGGCAGCAGCTCCATCCCTATGGCCCACGGCAGGTCTGACCTGCGTGGTTCCGGGCTCGTTGTCTGCTCCGGGTGGCTTCCAAGGGTCCCCCACTGCTGTTGTTGGAGTCACCCTTCATTCCTGCCCAGGAAAACAAGCAGCGTGCAGATGGAGCGGAATGCAGCGTTCAGGCCTTTGATTCCTGACAAGCTGTTGCGAATTAATCCCCCTTGCACTTGCCCGGATGCACGGTGGCGGCGGGCGCAGGGGCTGGAAGGGGGTGGAAAAGCAATAGGGGATGACTTGTTTGCTTATGAGCTGGATTCCAGCTTTGCGCTCCAAATCCCCGTTTTTATAGAGTTTTCCGCTGCAGTCTGCTCCTGCCCGGGGCATGCCTGTGTAACCGCTCCTCTCTCTGCATTCCTCAGATTCTTCTGCTGCTTGAGACTGGAGTGAAGGGGTCCGAAGTCCTTGGCGGAGAGAAGGAAGAGGGGAGGACGAGGAGGAGATTTCCCTTGGACTCTAAAGCCATCAAAGCAGGAAGCCAAAGCATGTCCCAGGTCATACAAAGCCACGTGCTGCGCGTTGGACAGACTGTGTGCGTTTCCTCACGGGAGGAGAGCAAGAGCTTGCACCCAGCCGGGTACCAGGGCTGCTCGGCGCTGCCCGTGCAGTGCCCCTACTACTCCACGGAGGGCTGGGCTGACCCGCCGGCCATGGTGCACACCAACACACGCGTGCTGCCCCATGGGGGGCTCTACAGAGCCCACCCTGTGTTTGAGCACATGGCTCCAAAGGAGACCCCTTTGGAGAGAGCGCATCAGCCAAAGGAGGAGGAGAGCCCCGGTGTGGATCTGGAGGCTCGCCTGGGGTCTCCTACCTTGGACATAGAGAGCCTCAACAGGATGATCCTAGAAATCGATCCAACCTTTCAGCCGCTCCCGTGCAAGCCAGCGAAGGATGCAGTCCAAGCTGCTCCTCAGGGTGACACTGCTGCTACCAAGAAACAGGATCCAGAGGCAATAGGTGAGGCAAAAGGTGCTGGGCGTGTGGTGGAGCTGGTGCAGCTCAGAGGTAGTGAAAACCATCTGCAGGAAGAAGCCTTTAATTCAGCCTGATCTTTGTTCCTCTGTGCTTGGGGAATCAGTTCTCATTAGAAATGGGGCTTGTAGCTGGTGGGGAAAACTCCTAGTCCATGTTATTGCCATCAGTGATTAGGGACAGGCATTGACCCTGGATGTGATGTGCGGATGTGCTCCCCCTTGCAGCAGAAGTCTGGTTCTACCCAAGGGCAGCAGAGCCTTCCTCCGGGTCATACTTGACCCGCGGAAGCACAAGGACTTGGAGCCAGACTTGCAGAGCCCTGGGCTAAGGTACCGGCCATTGCCCAACCAGCCCATTTACAGGTTCCAAAGTCATTTTGCCAGGGAGATTCTTTTTCCAGAGCCCCTGTGCTCCTCCAGCAGCACACCTGGTGTACACGAGGCACAGCATCAGCAGCACACACCAGCCCCCTCTTCCTGCTCTCATGCCTGGGTGCCTTACGTGAACCCTTGTGCAGCACCCCTCTGTCATCCCAGCAGTCCGGAGCCCTGCTCTGTGTGCTGCTCCTGACCCCAGCACTCCTGCCTGCGGCTCCTGTGGTGTGTGTGAGCTGCTCAACAGCCTTGCACAGGGTGACACGTGTGCTGCACGCTGCTGCAAGCGCTGTGCTGCGCCTCGGGGCAGCTCTGCGATGTGTTTGGGTGCCTAAAGATACGGTCTCCATGCTTCTGGAAAGCTTTTTTATCTGTCTGTGTCTTTAGAAATAGCCTGACAGTCTATCCCCAGGGCTGTTTCCAGAGGAAAGGCAAGGGAGAGGATGTTAAAGGCATTGCCATGGGGCTCGGCTGATTGTGGAGCAGAGGCATTCCCGCTTCCCACTGGGATGGAAGGGGTGGCCTTGTAGATAAAGTACTGTGGCAAAGGGCAAGTTCAGCTCTTGGCTCCTCACCCTGGCTGCAGAGGCCTTGGGATGCCCCCCCCAGGCATCACTCGAGGGCTGGAGTCCCCAGCAGCCCGCAGGTATCGGTGTCGTGCCCGTGGGTTAGAGCATCTGGCTCCCGGTGTGGAACTGAACATCTGGGAATCTGGCTCCGGATTCATGGGAAAAGCCTCGCTTCAGCTTTCTTTTTCTTCTAACAGCTCTCCTCCTGTCTAACACAAACTCCCAACTGCTGCACATCTCGCATCACCACCTCCTCCTGCCCAGCCTTGTTCTCATCTCCTCATCTTGGGCTCCTGCCTCCCTTTCCTCCCCTTGGCCACGCAGGGGAGGCCCCACAACACCCCCGAATCACTTCCACACCCTCCTTTTCTGCCTGATGCTCTTCCTAAGGTTCTTTCTTCCCTGCAGGCACAGTCGCTTGATGTGGCAGGAGACTGACAGTGCCCTGAGCCCATGAGAGGGGCTTGTTCTGCTCTAGTGGAAACCATGAGGAGGGGTTTAACAGCACAGCTGCTGGAGACACATTGATGAGAGTCACCAACTCCCTCTGGTACTTGCTTGCTCCTGCAGAAGGGGACAGCATCCCAGCTCGCGTGACAGCTCTGCTCCGTGCTGGTGACACTCCTGCCACTCCTTGATGCTGAGAACCTTGCCAAGGTCTTGAGCAAATATTTGAGCTCTATGATAAGCAGGAGCGAGGGCAGCAAAGCAGCACTCTGCAGTGCATAGATGCTTTTCGGTTATTTTTTTAAAGAGCAATTAAAATCCCCATTTCTCTTCCCCTTTTGAGGGCGACATTGACAAGAAGCACCCAAAAGAGCTGCTTGTAAGGGTTTGATGCTGACACCAGAACCGCAGGGCTCCGGAGGAGCTGCTGCTGCCTGCCCATGGCAGGAGGCTGCAGTTCCGGCTCCTTCCTGTGCATGGTCCAGCCGCATTCCCCCTGGGAGCAGCCTGACCCAGCGCCTCCTCGGCAGCTCTCCTCCGGCTCTGCCCATCGGATCCCACGCTGGGATCAGCGCGGAGAAGGGGCTCAGGGAGTAACTTGTGTACAGACTTGTGCTTTTCCTGCTCCCCCAGCTTTATGCCCTAGAGGTCTGCTTGTTCCTTGCAGGAAACTGGGGCTGCAGCGCTTGGCGTTCCAGGGGCAGCCGCTCTGCCCTGGCCAGCAGGTCCCAGCACAGCATAAACCATCAACTGCCAGGGAGCTCAGGGCTGGCAAGAGCAGCTTCTCATTGCTGCAGCAGAAGGGTTTTTCTCCCTCCAAGAAACACCTTCAAGAAGGGGAGCTTTCCTGAACTCCATGGCAGGGCAAGAACCAGGAGCTGAAAACAGAGCCGGGCACGTTCAGACTAGAAAGGAGCATGCTTGAAGCAGTGGAGGTGATTAAGCACTGGAACAGCCTCCCTGGGGAGGTGATGAGTTCACCATCACTGCGAGCACACGAATCAAGCCTGAGTGTCTCTTGCTAAAAGACATCTTCTAGCTCAGACAGCTTGTTCAAGGCACACAGGGACTGACATGCACCATGGGCAGCCAGCACCCCCTTGTCCCGTCCCTGAGATCGCACTGAAGGTCTGGGAGCAAGCGATGCTCTGCTAGATACAGATATTGGTGAGCAAAGAGGGGGTAGGAGATGAGGCAGTGCCTTGCCTGCCCCAAGCATGAATGGAAGAGCACGAGGGAACCCACAGCAGGGCACAGGCGCAGAAACTGCCTTGGGAATGAGTACTGTTGTGCAGGATGGGAGAAGGGAAGGGTGAGCAGGTGCCATAACTGGCACCTACAGCCTCGTGGCTTCCCTCTGCCTGGCTGCTGGTGCCCCTGGGGGCCAAGGAGCCCCCCTCCCTGTGCTCAAATGGGTGTGCAGGGCCCCGTACCTGCTGCCGTGGGCACCCTCCAGCCCGGTGCCATCGCTGGGGGAGCAGCTGCATGTTTTTCTCTTTAGTCAGGTACAAGCAGAGCCGCTGCCAGAGGAAACACCCTGCTCTGGCTGCAGGTCTCTGCAGGCCCCGGTGCTGCAGTACAGGATGGGGGGGGTCTGTGCAGTCAGACCTGACTGTGTGTATCCCCCCTCCCTGCCAGCACTGGGGGGTGTCTCTGTGGCTTGGGGTCTGTGAAGGAATCAAATCAGCCCTCACAGGATCTTAATGAAGACAGCATTGGGCCATGGGGGTCCTCCCGGGGCGCAGCACCCTGCAGGGCATGAGCATCAGAGCCAAAATGAATAGCAAGAAGGGACATGTGTGTGCCACAGAGCTTAGCTAACAAACCTGATTCACACTGAGCTGGTAACGACCTCCTCTTTCCTCCTGCAGACATCAAGTACATAGAGATGACGCCAGGCAGAGCCACATGTCCCGAGCGGCTGCAGGGCTCCCCCAGCCCTTCGGGCACCCCGTTCTCGAGGTCCCCCCAGGGCAACGGTTTCCTGTCCCAAAAAGGGGGGCTCAGAGGCAACTACAGCACCAGTGGCAGCGTGGTTTTCTCCAGCCCATCCAGCCCCAGGCCAACCTCTGCAGCTTCCCCACCCCACAGCAGCGCAGCCGAGTGCGTGGCCGTGCCCCATCAGTGCCGGACCGAGAGCATCTCCTATGGCCCCGGCACCCCCGGCACCTCCCCGGGCCTCGACAACCTGCTGAAGCCGGTGCACGTGGTGAGGGCTCAGCAGAGGAGCAGCCGGGTGTCCCTGCTCTCCACCAGCCCTGGCTCGGACACCAGTTACATCCTTGGAAGGTAACTGGTCTTGGGCTGATGGTGGGGATGGAAGGGGCACGGGGTGGTTATCCCAAGTCCCACGGTCCAAAACCTCCTTCCTCAGGCTGGGGCTCGATGCCCCACAGGGCTGGTGTGGTCCCTGGGGTGCACTGTGCATTGCATCCCAGCTAAGCACCCCCCTGCTCTCTGTGTCCCCCTTGCAGCAGCACCTACTCGCTCCACAATGACGACTCGGATGCTCACCCCACTGCTTGCCTCTCCGCTGACTGCCCGTCTCCTGCCAGCTCCCTGGGCAGCCCCTGCCCACCTTCCCCAAGCATCACCTCTCACTCGGGAGAAGCTTTTGGCCTGAGTCCCCACCAGCCCAGGGCAGACTCCTCCACCAAAGCCAGCACCTCCCCATCCCAGAAGGGACAGGCCAGCAGCTGCCCCCCCTCCATCCTCAGCTCCTCAGCCGACATCCCGGTGCTGCTGGTGAACGGGTGCCTGGAACAAGGGGATGCATCTTCCAGGCCGGCCAAAGCCCCCCCAGCCTCTGTCAAGCAGGTCCCTGCTCCCACCTGCAGCCCATCCTCAGGGCTCGGTGGCCTGAACACCGCGCTGTCGGCACCAGCACTCTCCTGCAGCCCAGACAGTAAGTCACCTCCCTGCCATAGGGCAGGCCTGAGGGGGGAAGGAGCTTCAGAGCCCAGGAGCTGCCAGGAAAGGGGAAGCAAACACTGTTCTCTACTCTGGTTTATCCATGGGTCATAGACATAAAGGACAGGAGGTCCTTGCTGGGGCTGGAGAGCCTCGCTGCATCTCCACCAGGCTGCAGAGCTCTGCGGGGGTCCGCAGCTCTTTGCTGATGAGCCTGCATTAGCCACGGTGTTTTGCTCGGCAGGCAGAAACGCTCGGGTCCCCTCCAGGAGATGCGGGTACACTTATTTATAGTACCTGAGACTGCCAACCACAATTGTGTTGGTTCATGCTTGTCTGTGAGCCCAGAGCAGTTTGCTCTGGAGGGCATCTAAAGATACCAGAGCTCATAGGGTCCCTCATTCAAGGGTAAACACTGGGGCTATTGTTCTCTGGAGACCAGCAGAGGCAGCCCTCAGGGCAGAGGGTTTTAATTGGGACCCTTATGGGAATAGCAGGAGGGCTTTGTGGGTCAGATCCTCAGCCGGTGTAAATCCCCATGGGCTGGTAGACTTGTGCAGATGGGCACTGCTGGGGGATTCCATGTGCTGCCTCCCTGAGCTCCATCACAGCCTGCCAAGAGAGATAATTACGTGGGGAATGAATTATTCTGCGGCACAGGGAGGAAGCTCTGCTCAAAAGGATTGAAAACAACAGCCTTCAACCTCGGCCAGCCTGAAAGAGGAATTGCTTTGCCAGAGCTTTGTCCTCTTGGTGATGGCTGCTGTGAAGTCTGTCAGGTCCTTGACGCTGCATGGTCTCTTGCAGGTCCCCCCAGGGCTGGGCAGCCCACCATGAAGTTTGTGATGGACACATCGAAATACTGGTTCAAGCCGAGCATAACTAGGGAGCAAGGTAAGGGTCTCTGCAGGATTGCTCTTGGGAGGATGCTGCCTGTTCCCCAGGCTGAAGCTTTAACCCCGCAGCATCCCAGTGCCCACACTGAGGTCCTGTGGAGACTCAGTGATGGCAATTCAAAGTGTACTGATGCCCACTCCCAGGTCCAGGGGCCCACTCAAACATGGGCTGTGACACAGCCTGTTTGTGATTCCCTTAACTCCAACAGAGTTTCTCCTCCTAATGTGCTGCCACTCAGCATGGCCTGGGCAGGGGCTGACTCTGTCCTGGGACCACAGGACCCATGGGACCGAGCCAGGTCCCTCACTCTGCAGGGGCACCACATGTGGTACCCACATAAGGGATGCCTGTGTCCTCTGCACATGCTGCCAAGGAACAGCTCCCCATGAGAGCATCAGCAACCCGGGGAGGTTCTACCTGTTTGGCTTGGCTGAGCCTCTTCCTGTACTTTGACAGCGATCCAGCTGCTGAAGGACAAGGAGCCAGGCACGTTCGTGGTGCGGGACAGCACGTCGTACCGCGGCTCATTCGGGCTGGCCATGAAGGTTCTCGTGTCTCCATCCGGCAGCCAGACAGGTACAGGGCTCACTGGGAAAGCCAAGGGTTTAACTGAAACTACTCAAACTCCAGCAAGCTGAGAAGCTGCTCTTGTCTATGAGAGATGCAAGTGGCGGGGTCTGTGCGCGCTCGTTGCACCCCTGTGCTGGGGCTGGCACCGCACTTGTTGCACGGTGGATGCACTGGAGCTGGCAGGGGCAGGCGGGGAAGGGCAGGGGTGAAAACGGCTCCGATGCTGGTGCTGACACTGTCTCCACTCCCGCCTGCAGGCGATGAGAGCAGTGACCTCATCCGGCACTTCCTCATCGAGTCCTCTGCCAAAGGGGTGCACCTGAAAGGAGCCAGCGAGGAGCTGTATTTCGGTGAGGATGCTGCCATCAACCACAGCAGCCCCCCAAAAGCCCCTAAAAGCCCTCAAAAGCAGTCTCCAAACCAGGAACATGGGATGCAGGTTGGAAAACCGACGTGAGACCCCAAATAGTCAAACTCAGTACCCCCCCCCTTCCTTCTGAGCTCCATGGGACACTGTACAGGGCCTGAGGCACATGGGTGGGAGGTTTTGGGCACCAGCAACCCCTCAACTCCCAGCTCTGTGTTGCAGGGAGCCTCTCTGCCTTCGTGTACCAGCATGCCATCACGCCGCTGGCACTGCCCTGCAAGCTCAGCATCCCCACCCGAGGTAGGTGCTTGGGGACAGGAGAGGTGCTCTGAGCAGTCCCCAGCCTGGGGAGGTGGGTGAGGTCCTGCAGTGGGGAGGGGGCTGAACCCCAGTGCCCCTGCAGTAGGGCTGGAGGTGGAGCAGGGACCTGCAAGAGCTGACTTGAGCCCGAGTCAATGGTGACCTGCTTCTGCTGCGGATGGAGGGTGCTCAGCAAAGCTGTGGGGAGCAGGGGACTATTGAGGGTGGGCAAGGAAAAGAGGAGTGGGGAGATCGGAGGAGAGGGAAATGGAGGGTAAGTGGTGATCCAGGTATCCCTGTGCATCAGTGCTCCTGCTTGTTGTTTGGGCAGATCTTGCTGATGGAGAAGACAGCCCTGACTGTGCTCCGGAATCCACCCTGGCCTTGCTGAAGAAGACTGCTGGTGAGGAAAGGAGCTGGGGAGGACACCAGGGTAAAGCTGAGCTGGTGATAGCCACAGCTCTGGGCATGCGCCCGTGCTTGGGGCATTAATCCTTACCTATTAAACAAGAAGCTCTATTTTCTATGGCATTCCTTCGGGCACCATTCACAGCAGAAGCTGTCTTTGCACCAGCACCCATGGGTGACCTGCTGCCTTGCACAGCTCCAATGTCCCCTCCTGCCTTTATCACCAGGCTGCAGATACCTGCAGGTTTTTCTGCACAACCTCAAATCATGGGCTTGCAGGGGAGCCTGGTATTTTTAAAGAAAGGAGACTTTTGGTCCTCAGGATGGTGAAAACACAGTTCTTGAGGTCACAAGGCTGATGAAAGACCCATAATTCCCACAGTTTTAAATAGCCTGGGATTTTTAAGCCTCTCCTAATTGTATTGAACTGATGGGTATTGAACATCTGGGGTTTCTAGGACAGGGATGGGGCAGCTGGGGCTGGTTAAATTGCTGATGGAAGGCACATGGAAACAGCACAGCAGGATGGGGAAGGGTCTTTGCTTCTCTTCCACCACCGGTACCCCAGGCCTGGGGGCAGTGGCGGGTGTTCTCCAGGTGAGAGCAGAGGGTGATGGGCAGGAGGCCATGGGGAGGATCCCGGCATAGTCAGGAACCACTTTGTTTGGCTGGAAAATAAGTTGGCAAGTTGGAAAGTTCAGTTTGACCCAGAACAGCCCTTTACAGAGCTCAATCAGCCCAAAAAGTCATGTTCTAGGGTTGGCTTCAGCCCTCCGTTGGCTCGGGGTATTTCTGCTTTTCATTAAAGGAAATATGCACTAAACAGGAAAAAAAAAAGAAATCCCAAACAAATGTGACATTTAGGAACTGGAAATGAAATATTTTGACTTTGAAAACTCTGAGCGCAAAGAATTAAAGTAAACCAAAATAAATTCCTGATGGATTTCTGAGTCACCAGATCTCCAGCTTCCACCAAAACAAACCTGACCCCCGTCCATGTGCCCGGTGCCGCAGGATGATGCCTGTGACCCCCCCCGAACCTGGACCAGCACCGCACATGGCAGTGAGATGCTGGTGCTGCGCTGAGCAGGGCTCTGTGCTGTCCTTGCAGTGTGCAACGTCTTGTACCTCAACTCGGTGAGCACGGAGACGCTGACGGGAGCCCCGGCCATCCAGAAAGCCATCTCCTGCACCTTCGAGCTGGAGACGCTGCCCACACCCACCCTGGTGCACTTCCGAGTGACGGAGCAGGGGGTGACGCTGACGGACATCCAGAGGAAGTAAGAGCTGCTTGGGGAGGGTGAGGATGGAGCCGAGGGCTCACGGGTGGGCAGGTGCAGGGAGAGCTCAATGGGCGAGGGAAACAGAGCTCACCCGGCTCTGCTCTTGCCTCTCAGGCTGCCAACGGGCTCATGTGCAGCACGTCAAGAGCTGGCCCGCGAGCACAAACCCGTGTCGCAATGCAGGGGCGGACTTGACCCCCCCCTGTTGCAGCGCAGGGCACGATGCTGCTGTGCACGGAGGCAGGAGCAGGCTCATCCCGAGAGCTTTGCCACCATCAGCCTGGTGGCAGCCCCAGGGAGCAGGACACCACCCCTCCAAACCCCCATCCCCAGCAGGCAAAGCAGTGCAAACAGGGCTTAGTTTTGGAGATACCCATTTCTTCTGTCAGCTCTGCCCTCCTCTAACACCACGCTCTCCTCCTCCTCCCGCAGGGTGTTCTTCAGGCGACACTACCCCTTGGCTGCCATCAGGTTCTGTGGGATGGACCCTGAGAACAGAAAGTGAGTTATGGGCTGAGGGCTCCCATCCCAGTGGGAGCAGGTCCAAGGGGTGCTCCACGGCTCCTGTATCTGCATCACTTGTAATCCCCCCCCACCGGCTGTGCAGCCCCTGCCCCGGGCTTAACGTGCTGTGGTTTAGCTAAATATAAACCTTGGCTTTGCAGCTGATGGGCTGGGTTAAAAACCAGTCTGTGAACCCAATTCTGTTCTCCCCTCAGGTGGCAGAAGTACTGCAAGTCCTCCAGGTAAGAGCAGCCCCAGGGTGCTGGTGGAAACCGGGGCGGGGGGAAGATGCTCTCTCTTCAGTGGGTGCATTGCAAAGCTGCGCAGAGCAGCAAAGGATCCAAGCTTAGAAATGAAGAGGGGCTGTGATAAAAGTTAACGTGGTGGCAGGGTGAGACACGGGGCGCATTTTGCTCTGTAGGCTTTGATGAGAGGCTTGGCTAAGCCCAGTTCTCCTCATCCAGCCGTGCAGAAAGCTCCTGCCCAAGCCCATCAGCCTTCCCAGGGTCTTGCTTGCTCTGGGCTCAGGAAGTGAGTTTATATCTGGCTCTACCTTGTGCTCAAGAAACCCTGCACAGCCTTGCCAGAAACACTTCTCCTGGGTCTTTTGCTTCCAAGTAAACGTGATTGGGGAGCGGGCCAAGGTGGAATTGCTGGAGCTGGGCTTTTGCTCTGTGGCTGGGGCTGGTTTGAGCGGATTCCTTTGGATTCCTGGATGCAAACTGAGCAAATCTCTTTCCCTTTTCAAAGAATCTTCGGGTTCGTGGCCAAAAGCCAGACGGATTCGGAGAACCTCTGCCACCTGTTTGCAGAGTACGACGCTGTGCAGCCCGCGTCCCTTGTCATCGACCTGCTCTGCAAGCTCCTGCCGGGCCCATAGAGCACAGGAACCCTGGGACAGCTCAGGCCCCATCGCTCTGAGCTTTCCCTGCTCCCCTTTTCCTGCTTCTAGGTTGCATTTTGGCAACGGCTCGTATTTATATCTGTATTTTTGTTACATACCAGAACGTCAAGAGCCTCGGTTAAAGATTTTCATGCTCTGGTGAGACAAAATGTTGCTCCAGGGACCCTCCTTTTGGGGCATCGCAGGATGGGAGCTGGGCTCCCGTATGGAGCTGCTTTGCCTCCCTCACTGGGCACGCACCATTCCATTGCTCTGGAGCAGTGGAATACTCCGGCTGAGGTCTCTACTGGCACTCGGGGTGTCCAAGCTGAGGCAGGAGCTGAGCTCCTCAGCCCTAACCCCTGGTGAAGCTGAGGGGGGGTCTCACCCCCCTGCCCACAGACCAGCACCAGGAGGCAGTTTTGCAAATCAAAGCGTATAAACCCCTCAGGCCCTGCTGAAAAACCCGGCTTCCCTAAGGAGCAAGAAGCTGCCGCGTCGGAGCAGCGTCTTCTTGCCTGGTGCCGGTCCCTTCTCCTGCCCCTCTTCTCAAAGCAGCATCAGCCCTGGGGCTGAGGAGCGGATGCTGACGTCTTCAGGACACTGAAACGCTGGGGTTTTGGAAACGGATTCGTGTGACTTCGGGCCAGGTCCTGGGATGACGCGAATTGGCGCGGGGAGGTGCAGCCGGCGCTGCTGTGATTTACACCAGCTGAAGGCTCTGCTCGCGCTGTAACCTCAGCGCAGCGGCTTTGTTAGCACACGCTTACCTGGTGCCTCTGTGGGGTTTTCACTCCGGGCCCTGTGTAACACACCCTGCTCGGGGGGGGATCTTCAATAAAGCAGCAGGGCACTTGGCTCGGTGTTGGCCACTGAAACACGTTACTCCACTCTCTTCCACGCACGAGCATCTCTGTGCTGCTCATGAGCATGATTCTCCCCCAGCCAGGCAGAGAAGCAGCATCTATCAGGTAGAACAGACACTGGAGTCACTGTGAGGGGAGGAAGATTCTCCTCCTTCCCCATCAGCTTCGTGTCCCCTGGGCTCTGCCCAGCCCAGGAGAGCTGTGACCCCATGGGGCCCCATTGCATTGCACTGCGCAGACCCAGAGGACCGCAGCTCCCCAAGGTCAAGGAGGGCAGCTCAGCCCCTTGTGCAGGATGGGACCCGCTGCAGTGCACGCTGCAGCCGGCAAGGGGCCCCAGCACCACACTATCAGCCCTGCCTGCCTCCTGCTTGTGCCCTGCCTGTGCTCTGCCCGGCTGCTGGGAGCCACAGATGAGGGCAGAGCTGGGTGCTCAGAGCTGTTTTCAGTAACCAACACTTCATCGGCACTGCAGTGGCCGCAGGACTCCGGCCCCTGCACCCCAAGGGCCATGCAGCACAGCTCCATTGCGTGCATTGCGATGCTGTTGTGACAGCAGTGACAAGCCCAAGGGAAAATGAAGGTCACGTTGACTCCAAGAAGGGGTCACGCTGCTGTCCCCCATCCCTGCCCTGCTCCTTGTCCCGGCAAATCCCTCTCCCTGTTGCAGAAGTCCAGGAGGGTTCATCTTCTGGGGAATGGGGGGGCAATGCTACCTTTCCCCACTGCAGGACCATGTGGGATGGGGAGCAGGCCCCTCGCCAGGCGCTGTCTTTCACACATGGAACTTTCAGTTCATTGGAAAGCCTTTTCCAGCGCAGCGGAGCTGGAGCCTGCGCCCAGACGCGGCGGCAGGGACAGTTCAGCCAAAACCACCTGGATTCAGGAAAAAACAAACAATTCTCTGAGCTCCTCGTGGCTTCCAAAGTTTGTCCCAGCCTTCCTGGAAGCGCGGCTCTTGGTTTTGGTTCCTGGGTCCGGTTCCAGCCATTTTGTAACCAGCCCAGCCCCTCTGTGGCCAGGCTCATGGGTCTGTTCCCGGCAGCCTCTGCCCCACGTCCCCAACTGCAGCAGGACCCCAAGAGCCAACAAGTGCAGCACGTGGCAAGGATGGCACCGGTGCACGGGGTGCACGGACACGGGTGGGGGACACAAATCCCCCTCAGTGGCTGCGGCAGGTGGAGCTTTACTCCCTGGTGAGGTGCAGAACCCACCTCTGGACACTGCTGGGGTGAGCATCACCGCATCCCAGCACAGCAGGGTCCCACTCGGCACGGGGGTCCCAGCCAGCAGCACTCCCAGACACGTGGAGGGTGCAGAGGGTTTGGTTTCCTCCTGTCACCAGCTTCCTGATGACCTCCAGAAGAGGAAAAAGGCCACGGCACAACCTCAGCTGATGGGTACAAGCGGAGGCAGCCGTGGGGATGCAGGTGCCCTGGTCTGCAAACACCATGGGAAAGCCAAGCCATGGCCGGGAGCACTGGGCCATCAGCATTCCCATGGCTGGGCATCTCTCCAATGCATCCCCTGACACCCTTGCAGGGCAGAGCAGAGCCAGTGGTGCTCGGTGTGTATCAGCACCAGCACGTACACACACACATGCTGCGGCCAGTGGTGCTGCCTGGCCACGAGTACATTGCCCTGGCACAAACCAGTATCTGTCCCTATCCTCCTTTGCCAGCCTCATCCCAGCCCAGCACCATCCCCGTGCCCCACCTCTGCTCTGTGCCAGGCTGGTGGTGATGGTCTCTGCTGCCTTCACTGTGGCACCAAGCAGAGACTGAGCTGAGACTCAGGACAAGGCATTAAATCATTTGCCTCTCACCCCATCCCGGCTCGTGCAGCTCTTCCTGATGTTTGGGGGCTGATCCCCGATCCCGGTGCAGGGTCCCCCAGGCTGGGCTGGTCCCTGCACTCATGGGATGCTCAGTGCCGGTCCCTGAGCTCTTCATGCACTGGTCCCATCCCGGGATCCGCAATGCACGCACAGCTCCAGCAGTGGTTGCACTGCTGCAGCCCAGCCCCTCGTCCTACCCAGCTCCCCCTGCCTTGGCCTCCCTCATCCTCCCTCATCCTGCTCCGCAGCCCAGCCACGACCCCTGGCCAAGGTGCTTTGGAGGTGGCCAAAGGGGGTGCCATCGGTGTGAGGAGCAGCGGCGCTCCCTCTGGATGGGGTTCCATGGGTCAGGGTTGCTCCTCTGCCCTCTGCCAGGGCTCCAAGGTGGCAGCAGGATGGTGCCAAGGCCATGGGCAGCCTCTGATTTGTTTGGGAGCGTTTCCATATGGCTCACACCGGCACTGCAGGAACACAGGGGGGGATCCCCACAGATCCCTCGCTCCTCCTCTGCTTTGCTCCCCCCCTCTCCTCAATGCAACGATAAAACACATTAAGTAACAGGGACAGTTAAGACAGGAATTACTTGTTTTCCTTGTTGACGATACAAAGGTTCAAGTTTACTGTAAAAGGGGGTTGGTGCTACATGGGGGGCTGAAGGGATGGGCTTGGCCCGGGAGGAACTGACGTAAATCACATCGGCATGGAAAAACGCAGCTGGGGTTGGGGAGCCTTACGCTGGTATATGATCGTGTGTAAATACAGCCTTAACCTACAGGAGAGACACTACAAAACACTGGAGCCCTCTGAGCTGGATACAGAAGTTCCCGGTCCCTGCACAACCACCCCCTGGCCACCCCAAACCGGGCGAGGTCCCATGGGATCTGCTGTGGTGCTGCCGGTGCAGCGCTGGGACCGGCAATGGGACCGGCCGTGGGGCCCAGCAGCATCCCGGGACCCCCCCCCCCCGGTGATGCCAGGCAGGGGATCCAGCAGGAGCCCAGCAAGGCACGGGGCCGTGCTGGGACACGTGAACCTGGGGACACGGGATGCGACACGAGGGCAGCAGCACGTGGACGAGGAGCCAGATGCAGCCGTGCTGATGAGCTGCAGCACTGAGCCCGGTGCCAGCCCTGTCCCTGCTCCGTCCTTACCATCCGGCCACTGCTGGCCAGCGGGATGGCAGCACCGCTGCCGAGACACGTGGGGACATCCTCGCTGGTGCTGGGAGCTGCTGTGCCATGCTGTGCCATGCTGTGCCATGCCATGCTGTGCCATGCCGTGCCGGGCAGCTGCTGGGAGGCACAGGGTGTTTCACTAAAACTGAAACATTTCCTTCCCATCGGGGCCTTGGTACCCACCAGGGAGGATCCACACAGAAAACCAAAACCTCCCACTGAGGGTCTGGGAGGGGGGTAATCAGCAAAATCCCCTCCATCTTTGGTACCCGCCATGGCAGCCAGCAAGGACACTCCTCACCTAAAGCCATTCAGGTGAAAACTTCCAGCCCAGCTTAAAAAATAATACAAAAAAAAAGGGAATTAAGGAAAAAAATCATTACAAAAGTGGTGACAATTTCCCAGCTGAGAACTTGGTGCTGGCGAAACCTGAAGATCCCATCACTGGGATGCGCCAGAAATTCATCCTGGTTTTGTCATGTTGGCCAAGTTGGGGGAAGGCATAACCCCCCTCACCCATGGGGACCAGGCATGGGGAGATGGGATGGATGGATGGATGGATGGATGGATGGATGGATGGATGGATGGATGGATGGATGGGTGGGTGGGTGGGTGGGTGGGTGGGTGGGTGGATGGATGGGTGGATGGATGGATGGATGGATGGATGGATGGATGGATGGATGGATGGATGGATGGATGGATGGATGGGTGGGTGGGTGGGTGGGTGGGTGGATGGTTGGGTGGTTGGTTGGGTGGGTGGATGGATGGATGGATGGATGGATGGATGGATGGATGGATGGATGGATGGATGGGTGGGTGGGTGGGTGGGTGGGTGGGTGGTTGGGTGTGTGGGTGGATGGATGGATGGATGGGTGGGTGGGTGGGTGGATGGATGGATGGATGGAAGGAAAATGTTGTGGCCACTGGCTTTGTCCCTGTGCAGGGATGGGGCTGGGCCATGGGGCAGGCAGGACCTGGGCTGTGGAGCTGGGGGGGCTGCAGTGGGGAGGGGGAAGGTTTCTTATTGCTCTGTGTGGCTGCGGTGCCCATGGTGCACGCACACTGAGTGAGGTGCAGGCAGGGAGGGCTCCAGGCAGGCAGTGGCAGTGGGGAGGGGGGTCGGGTCTCTTTGGGCACCTCCAGCCCATGCCTGCTGCCAGGGAGGGCAGGATGAGGCACTTCTGCTGCTGCCCCATGCAGAGGTCCAGTGTGGACACAATGCACCGTGGGCAGGGGGTGATGCTGCCGATGCAGCCACTGGAGTGTCCACGGCCACACCACTGCACAGGGGGGCCAGGACGAAAACCAGAGGGTTACCACGGGGTGGGAGCAGCATCAAGGGGCAGGAGGATGTTGCGGTGACACCAGCCCCAGTGCAGCATCAGTCCCAGCGAGTGTCCGTGCAGGATGGAGGTGTGCCGGGGAGCCCTCGGCACTGGCAGCTCGTGGTCATGGCGCAGGTCGTGGTGCCGTGCTGGGGCGCAGAGCGCCGCAGAGAGCCGGGCTGCGTGGCAGGGTCCCCCGGCACACAGGAGCTGCTCGGCAGTCGTGTCCCCTCTCTTCCTCTCCTGCGTGTCCCGGTCGCGCTCACATGCTGTCTGCCAGCTGGTGACAGTCCAAGTCCCCCTTCAGCTCCAGGAAGCCCGGCAGCTTCACCCCGGTCTTGCGGTCCACGCACCAGCACTTGCCCCGCTGCCCGTCCAGCGCCGGGTGACACTGAGGGGACAGGTTCATGGAGGGATGCCCAGCCTGGCCCCCCACAGCCCCATCCCCATGGCTGGGGTAACCGGGAGCTCTCATGGGGGGCTTTGCCACCCCTATCCCACCCTGAAGGGTGATTCCCACCGGTGGCTCCTGCCCCCATCGGCTGTGTCCTGCTCCCAGCCTGCCCAAGCCACACAAGTGGCACCGCCATGAGGGATGTGACCCTGCCCTACCTGCTTGGGGTGGAAGTTGCCGTTGCGGTCGCAGTTGGGGATGGGGATGACGTAGAGGTCCTCGTGCGTGCGGGTCTGCGAGGCGGCCAGCCGCTCCAGCGCCCGGTGCAGCTCGCTCTGGCACGAGCCCTGTGCCTGCAGGAACGGGGTGGGGGGGGGATATGATGGATGCCTCCAGCCCCGAACCCCAACACCCTGACTCTGGAGCGCAGCCCAGGGCTGCTCAGCACCCATCCTGCCCTCCCCAGCCCGGTGCTCACTATGGGCCGTGTCTCCTCGCGGTGGTACGGGCTCCCGCTGTTGCGCATCTTGTTGCCGTTGTTGACCCGCTTCGCCTGCTGCTTCTGCAGGCACTTGCGGTCGTGGATGCTGCAGGGGCTGAAGCTGTTGTTGGGGTGGTCGATCTCCTCCTTCTCTGCAAGGACACAGACAAGAGGGGGCTCAGCCCTGCGTTGAAACCCTGATCCCCGTGGGCATCACCCCCAGCCCTGGGTTCCCTCCTGCCGCTGGGCCGAGCACTGCAGGGCTGGGAAAGGCTCCTGGGAGTTTTGACAACTCATTAGCCATGATTCGCAGGCTTATTGCCATGTGTCTGTTATTGTAGGGTTGCAAATGCATGCAGCAAAAGCATGGGCAGTTGTTCCAGTGACAGCGGAGCACGAGGGTCTGGCTGTGCCCTGGCCAGACACGTGCACTGCATCCACAGGGCTGAAAGGTGAACCATAGGGTGCATGGCCAGGGAGCCCCAAGAGCATCCTGATGCCCCCAAAAAAGCTGCCTCTGAGGAGCTGCAGCAGGAACGGGGGCACTGGGGCTGCACCGGGACGGTGCTGAGCACCCGCCAGGCGTGGGGCAGCACCGGGCGCCGCGGCTGGGACCGGAGCCGTGCTCTGCCGCAGGGCACAGCCCCCGCAAAGACATGAAAGCAGGAATTCCTGGAATAGGAAAGTCAATCTCCCACAGGGCTGATCCCGAAAGGCGGCGCTTGGCATCCTCGCCTGTGCCAGGAGCGCAGCCAAACTGCGATCCCAGATGTTGGCAGCTGGAGGAGGTGTCATGAGACCCAGCTCCCGGGGCCACTTCGTTTCTTAAGAAGCTGCTGGTCACTCCAGCTTGGGGCCCATTAATGCTCTGCAGGACTTGGACACGCTGGGCAGCTGGGTCCTGCCTGCGCTCAGAGCCACGTCAGGCAGCGTTCTGACTCCCAACCCGGCTGGGCTGCAAGAGGAAAGCAGCCAGGGCCCTTTCCTGCCTGAGCTTATCCCAGGATTTGGCTTGTATTAATCAATACCGCAGCCAGCAACGGGAAAAACCTTCCCAAACCAGGCGGGAGGCGGTCATGGTGCGGCACGGGGGGAAGCACCCAGGGCCCCACAGCACCAGGGATGGAGGCTGCTGGCGTGGTGCCCAGCACCAGCCCTTCCCACAGGCAGGCAGCAGGGTCAGAGCCACAGCCTCCTGCCTGCCACATCCCCATGGGATCCAAGCCCTGGTCTCCCATCAGCTCCCCTGCAGTGCAAGGCTCCTGGACCAGCTCCCAGCAGCCTGGTTAAAGTTCACAGCGAAGCCTGGATCGAAGCTTTCTCCTTCAATTCGTGTTGTTTGCTTTTCGTTTAATTTGTCCTTTTTCTTTTTTTTTTGGTTGTTTTTTTTTTCTTTTCCAGGAAATGCCTCATGCCCTTGAAATTTGGAACACAAACCCAAAGCCTCCAGCACCCGGCGCAGAGCGATGCCAGCCCCGGTGGCAGCAACCACGGGACCGCAGCGCAAAGCAGGCGCTGGCAGCAGAGCTCCTTCCCTCCCCGGCCTCCCCCTGCACCTCCTCGGGGATACACAGAGGGAAGAGCCAGCTGGGAGCTTTGGCACCACCAAGCCGAAGTCCTGGCACCACCACCGCGCCATGGAAAGGCACTGGGAAGCACTGCCTGGGGGAAGCCCTCAGCCAGCCCTGGCATGGACCGACCCCTCTCCTCTCCCCGAAAGCCAACTGCTTTCAGAGCATCACATCCCTCAGCTTAAATAAAACCAGATGCCAATAACATTCTCCTAAGGTCACATGAAGCGTCAGCGCCTCTGGGCAGGAAGGAGCCTCCTGGTCCTGCACTCGGCTCTGGGGACAGAGCTCTTTGCCCATGGTCCCCGACCTGCACACAGATCCAGGATCCCTCCAGGATCCCTCCAGGATCCCTGCAATCCTCGGGGTGATTTTCTCACCCACTCTCAGACAGGCAGCAGCTTGAGGTGCCCTTGGCAATCCTCCTGCACCGGCTGGATGAGGGAACTGCTCACAAAAGGACATGGAAAAAGCACAACGGGATGGGAACCGGTGCTGCCCGTGCTGGCCGCCCTGCCCTGGCAGGAGGGGGGTTTCTGCCCGGCCTTCTGCTCGAGCTGTGGATGGGAGATACAAATGGGTCTTTCAGCATCAACTTCAATTAACGGGAGCTGCAGATGAGGTCGGTCACATGTGGAGCTTGTGATTCCAAGGGAGCTGGGAAGGGCTCCGGCTCCACCACATGGTTCCCATGGGAGAAGAGCCCGGGGCAGTGTGTCTGTGGCAGAGGAACAGTGTGAGGGCCCCACAGCTCCAGCCCTGCTCCCCCAGTCCACCAGCCCAGGGGCAAAGGACCAGAGGGAGCCAGAAGGGACACGTCCATGTGTCCATGGCCAACACAAGCAGCAGGGTCCCGGCACCCTCCTCTTCCCCACCTAGCAGGGCTGATGCGGCCGGTGGGTGGCCCTGGCAGGGACCAGCGGCGTTGGCTCTCCTGCCTGCCGGGGCTCCGGGGCTGGCAGGCACCGGCACAGGGAATTCTGTGCTTGTCCTGGTGAGAGCTGGCCCCGGTGGAGCGCAGGGAGCCAGGCACAGGGGTGCCCCTTGGCCAGGGATGCTCCTGGGAAGCCAAGCCCGTCCTCATCCCACAGGAACATGATGCTGAGCCCCTGCTGTGCTCAAACATGGCCAAACACATCTGCACCTCCCGGCTCGGTGCCCAGAGTCCAACAGAGGTAAGGTCGGGATACCGGGATGTGGATGATTCCTGGTAGGGACCAGAGCCTTGCTGGGAGCAGCTCCCAGCCTGGAAAAACCCAAGCATGGGCAAAGGCCAGACATCATCCCAGCTGACAGATGGGACAGGGCCCCCTGCCAGGGCAGAAAGGGACAGATGAATGCACCGTGGCCACCATGATGAACCCAGCCCGTCCTCACCATCCCTGTGCCATCCAGCTGGGCACAGCTACCACTGTCCCTCCTAGTCACTGCGCATGGGAAGGGAATAGGGTCCGGTCCAGACACTGCTTCCAGCAACCACGTGGGACGCATGCAGCTCCCATGGGGTCAGTTCTTCCCAGACATAATTATTTAACCAGCATTAAATCACTTGTCATGTGTGCTGGGGAAAACGTCCTCACCTCTTCCCGGCTGCCACACGCGGCTTCAGCCATCACCTCCCCCAGGCACCCACAGGCTGTGCCAAAAACCCACGGCTGGAACCTCCTGGGGTTGGCCTGACCAGCGGGATGCTCCGGGAGCCAGCCTGGAGCTGGCAGGGCTGAGAGTGGGAAGCAGAGACCACGGTCCTGCGCCACAGCCACAGGTGAGGGTCTCGTGTCAGGAGAGCAGCCACCCGCATCCTCAGCTCCTAGGAAGCCCCATCCCACGGGGCTGCAGGTCCTGGGTGAGCAGAGAGGCTCTTTCCTGGCGATGGTGCTCCACGGCTCCAAGCCCAGCCCCCTCCATCCCAGCCTCTTCCCTGGAATGCAGAGCCCCCCTGGGCTGAGCCCCCAGACAAAGTGTTGACTGTACGAGCTGCACGTTAACCGCTTCCCAGCCACCCTCCTGCTGCAGCCTCTGCTCCCTGGCACCCGCTCAGCCCCGGGGGCACCCACTCCCTATGCCCCTGCCCCTGAACAGGCAATTAACCCCTTTCTCCTTACCCAGAGGAGACCCATCGGATGCTGGGATGCCCTCACTGTGCCAGGCAGGGTTATGGTGGGTTATAGCTCACAGTCCCCAGCCCCACATTCCCACTTGCTCCAGGCTGCAGGAGCGGGACAGGGAGCCACGGCTCAGACATCCCATTGGGATCTTCCCACCGGGGCTGCACCGAGCAACGTGTTGTGGGGTGTCCCAGGGGAAGGTGCTCCCCGATCCTGCCACCTGCGATGCTGCAGGCAGGCACGGAGCCCAGCGGGCCAGCCCGGCTCCCACGGCCACCCACCCGTGCCCAGCAAGGCCAAAACACGGCGGGAAGGAAGGGAAAAATCTGCAAGTCTGTTTCCTAAAGGCTCTGGGAAAAAATGCTGCGTTACCGGGGGCACAGCCAAAACCAACAGGCCTTGGCAGCCCCACGCAGCCCCGGGCCAGGCAGCCCAGACAGCTCCTGCAGGATGTGGGATGAGGACAGACAGGCAGGGCAGGGGGTCTCCTCAGCGGACCCCATGCCGAGCACTCGTGGGGATGTCTCTGGAGAGGGGCAGCTGGAGGGGCCCATCCACAAAGGGCATTCCTCACTGTGGGACACCAGCAGAGCTGCCATGGACCAGCTACACGAGGAGGGAATGGAGCTGGGATCTGGCCATCAAGGTGGACAGGGACAGACACCACTCCAGCCCCCTCTGCCCCTTGGGGAGCTCTGGGTGACCCCACATGGGCACACAGGGCCAGAATAGCCCATGGACTATCCCGTGGCAGGATGCTGCTCCCTAGCTCCAGAGGACGTGGTCCTGAGCACAGCTCACAGCATGGGCAAATGGGGATGTGGCAGTATCCAGACCCACTAACGGACCAGCTCCATGGGCCTGGTCTCCGCACTCAGCCTGCAGGAGCAGCTCCATTCCCACTGTCAAAGCCACAGCGTGACCTGCTCCCAGCCACAGGATCACCAGCCCACGATCACCAGCAGGAGGGTCCTGGGGCAGACACGCAGAGGCAGCTTCTTTGCCCTGGCCCTGCCTGCATCCCACTGCCCTGTCCGGCTGTGGGAAGGACACAGCCCTCAGCAAAGCCCCGGCAGAGCGCAGGCTGACCTGCCTGGGAGGGAAGCAGGTGCCCTGAAGCCTCTTTCCTGTTTCCTCCCGGCAGAGCTGTGGACAACATCCCTGGGAAAGGGTCACCGTGCAGCAGGAGCCTCCCAGACAGCTGGGACCTGTCCCAGGGACCACGGGTGCTGCCCTGATGTCCAGGGGCACGCTGCAGCCAGGGCACAGCGGGTGACAGGTCCCTGGGAAGCACCTTGCTCCCTCAGAGGCCATGGCACGGCTGTGCCCATGCTGGGTAAGGATGGCACAGACATGACCCACTGGTACCCAGCTGTGGGACCTCATGGAGCTCAGCACCACTGGGAGACGCTCCCTGTATGCCCATGCCAAGGCTGCCCCATCCCATCCTGCCACAGGGTCCCTGCTGAGCCCCCCGGCACCATGGCCCCAACTCTTGCCAAGTGACTGGAGCGCGGCCTGGGGCACACAGGGGTTGCCTGGGGGCTGCCACCAGGCATGCGAGGGGCAGGGACCCCCCCCCGGCACCCACCCCTCGCCCCGGGGCCGGCCTTACCTGGGGGCTGCAGGCTCTCCTGGATGGCCTCGACGTCGGCCAGGTCGGTGCAGATGCCCTGGCCGTGCATGAGGGTGTGCAGGGGCCGCGGCACGCCGCGGGGGGGATAGCAGCGCAGCCCGGCGCCGCAGCGGGCGGTGTAGACCCCGCAGGCGGTGCCGCGGCCGAGGGCGCAGGTCGCGCAGCACCCGCAGCCCGGCTCCCGCACCAGCTCCGCGCAGCCCTGCGGTGCCTTGCAGCGCGCCAGCCGCTCCTCGGAGCACGGCGGGCACTGGATCGCCTCCTCGCCGCCGCCCAGCCCCGCCGCCGCCGCCGCCAGCAGCAGCAGCACCGGTAGCACCGGTGGCACCGGCGGTAGCGGGCACCCGGCGGCCCCGCGCATGGCGGCCCCGCGCCCGCGCTCCGGCCCGCGGCTGGCGGCGCTCGGCTGGCGGCGGAGGCTTTATGCGGCCCCTGGCCACACCTCCCGCCGCCGGCACCGGGGCCACCGGCGGGGCCGCCCTCGCTGACACCGGGAAGCCACCGGGGAGAACCGATCCCAGCCGACGGCGGCGGCGGCAGCACCGGGGAGGGCGGCGGCAGCACCGGCACCGCCGGCGGGACAGCTCCGGCTCCGCGCAGCGCGGAGACCCCCGGCCCTGCGCCCCCCTTCCCCGCCGCCCCCTCCAGCAGCCCCGACACCCTCCCTGGCCCGAGAGCAGCGGGGGTGAACTGGGAGGGGGGGACGCGGACACCACACGAGGCTGCTTCTCGGGGGCTGCGGCCAAGACCTCCCGCATGGGGCAGCCCGGGGTGGGCTCCGGGCCGCGGGCACGGGGGTCCCGGCGGCAGCGGCATCACTCTGGGGACAGCTCAGCTCCGTCTGCCCGGAACGCCCCGGGGAGGCCCCGCCGGGTCCCCCCGCACCCGGCCCCGCACCCGGCGGCTCCCCGCGCCCCGCACGGCCCCGGGATAAGTTGAAAGCTGCCGGCACCTAGCGGCTATTCGGGAAAACCGGGAGGGGGCCGGAGGGAGGGAGCCCCGGAATCCCTCCCCGCGGGCCGGCCCCGCCGGTACCCGCAGCGCCCTGCCGGGGGGGACCCGCCTGGGTGCGGTAGCGGGGTTCTGCGGGTGGGATGAGCTCCGGTACAAGCGCAGCCTCGCTGCCCTCTGTGAATGGCTGTGGCACCCACGCAGGCTTTGCACAAGCTGTCCCCAGCACGCCCGGCTCGCTGCGGGGGTGCAAGGACACAGAGAGCCCTCCTCCCCACCCTAGGGACAGGATGAGCTGCGAGCAAGGGTAAAGCAGAGACTTGTTGAACTCATGCCATGGGATGAGGAGCTTGAGCACTGCAGGGAGCTTTGTCCTGCAGACTCAGGGACACACTGGCTCAGCAGCACTTGGGTGCTGGCCGTGTCACCACACTGGCCCTGGACAATGCCAGCAAAAACGCCACCCTGTGCCACACAAAGTAATGAAATGACCACAACCACCCCAGCCATCCCCACCAGCAGCAACAGTGGGGAGATGGTGCATCCTGTCAGGAAGATGGCCTTCACCGTCTGGGACAAGGGAACCAGCCCAGCCCAGCTGTAGGGCAAGCACAATGAGCAGGGAACAACCACATCCCACCAAAGACCTGGCTGAATAGTAGGTTTGCTGGGGCTTGTGACTGTGCCCTGCACCACGTACATGGTGATTAACAGTCATTAAATACCCAGACACTGGGTCTTGCTGCAGGCCCCTGGTGTGGGACTCGGTGTAGTGAGTGGGATGAGAGGACTAGGGCTCAGGCTGAGAACCCTGAACTCATCTCATTCAGTGCTCAAACTGGTATCTTGAGGCTGGAGTGCCAGCACTGGTGGCACTGTCTGCAAGAGCTCCCAGGACCATCTCTCTCCTGTGCAGGTGAGTCGGGAAGCACCAACTGTGCCAGCAGGACACAGGCAGGCAGGGTCTGTGTCCCCTAAGCATCCCAGCCCCAGTTTTCCTCTCCCATCTGCCACAGGGGCCCTGCAAGGCATCAGCACCGGGTGCCGCTCCGGAGCCCCTGTCCTGCCTGGCACTGCTGCAGTGGCCATGACTCTGAGCAGAGACACCAGCCTTGACACAGCGTCCAAGCAGGGACCAAACCCAAACATGTGCCCAGCCCCGCGGCACTTTATCAGGCCTTGGCAGCGCCGAGCTCCCGCTGCGGAGACTGTTGTGTCTGCAGCGTGTGCAGGCGACAGGGATGCTCTCGCTGTGCTCCTCCAGGTCCCCAGCACCATCCTGCCAAAGAGAGGGGGGCTGAGCTGGGGCACCCACAGCCATGCTGCCCCCCTCCCTGTTCACAGCCCTGCAGCCAAGGAGGGTGCCCGGTGGATGGTGGTTGATGCCCAGTGCACAGAGCTCAGTGCATGGTGCTTGGTGCAGCCCAGCTCCCCCTGCCCCTGGTCTTGGAGCTCCCAGCACAGCTTCCCTACCTCAGTGGCTCTTTGGGGTCCCCAAGGCTGCTGGGGCCCAGCCTGGCTGCTGCCTCCCTGTCACTTGCCCCAGCATGGTCTGGAGCCTGGGGAGAGGCTGCAGGTTAGCACAAGGCAGTGGCAGAAGGGGGTCTGGGAGTCAGAGAGCGCTGAAGACCCCCAGATGAGATGGCCCTGATGGAGCCACCGACACGCAGGGCTCTTTGCACCCACTGTGGACACGATGACTGCACACACCACAGGGCACAGGTATCACGTATGCTGCAGGACATCCACAACCCCCCTGTCCCCAGGGCTCAGCCCCACTGACCCCCAAATCCCCTGAGTCCCGAGTCCCCTCCTGGCACCAGCAGTCCCTGTAGAGCACCCGACTGCTCGCCACGGTCAATGCCCCTTGCTCTCAGACAGCCCCCTCCTCGCTGGTTTTACTCCCCATTTCCAGGCAGCATCTCCTCCCCAGCCCGCCCTCGCCTTGGTTCCATCAGTTCCTCCCGGCCCTGGCTCCCTTCCCCGTGGTTCCCGGCTGCCCCCTCTCACTCTTGGACAGTGACCCGGCCATGTTGGTGCTGAGCCCCCGCCGGATGCGGCCCGTAGGTGCGGGTGCCGGGGCGGGCAAGGGGCGTGTCGGGCCGCGGGGGGGCCGCCGTGATAACTGCGGGTGTCGGGAGCAGACAGCACAGGCGAGCGGGATGAGCCCAGGACCCCCAGCCTGGGCAGCCCGGCCCCGAGGCAGCGGCATGGGGTCCGGCAGCCCCCAGCACCTCCTCCCTGTGCTCTGCATCCTCTGGGTGCTGGCCGGACGCCTGCCCTCTGCCACGGCCCAGTGGTTTTATCCCCTGGGCTTGGACAACACCACCCCGGACCCAGGCACCAGCCCTACAGCGCCCATCCTGGATGGGGAGGAAGGTACGTATGGAGGGACAGGGCATGGCTTCCCTGCATCCCTGGCTCCGGCACCCCAGCAAAGAAGGGAACCTCTGGCATGAGGCTGGAGGGTGAGGTGTGGGGTGCTGGGGTCCGGGGCTGCTGTGGCTGCCCCACCACTTCCCACCCCATCACCCCTTTGCTCCTGCAGACAGAGATGCCGTGGAGCCCACTCGGAAGATGCTGCTGAGCAAACCCCCGCTGGCAACAGCCCCCAGGCGTCGGGACCCCCTCGCCAGGGGCGCGGGGAAGGGTCTGGGCCATGCCCCACCACGCGCACGAGGCCAGGTGCCTTTCCCCGGACAGGGTGTCCGTCCTCCCCCCAGCTTCTCCAGCTCTCCCGATCCCCCCCCAGCCGCTGCAGGGCTCCTTGCCCTGTCCTTCCCCTTATCTGTGCCCTGCTGCACACACAGCCCAGGCAGGGCAACGCGCCCTGCTCCGCCCGTGGCTCAGCCTCCTCTATCCCATGGGAAGGAGCTGTGGCAGCTCCCGGTGTCCCCACACATGGCCGAGCCCCACAGCAGAGATGTGCTGAGCCAGCTCCCCAGGCAGCCACGGCTGTGGAGGGGTCCTTCATGCCCCCAAGCCCCACACTGAGCACTCCCTGTCCATCCATCCCCGCAGCAGCGACCCACAGTCGCCCCGGAGATCTTCGAGGGGAGCGCCGAGGAAGAGGAGTTCCTGCAGATCAAGGTGGTGGAGGGCCCTGATCCCCAGGGGGGCTGCGAGGGACAGCCCGGGATGTGCCCCCGGGTGGGGGGCTCTGGGGGATGTGGGCTGGCAGGGCAGGATGGGGACGGTGCTGCAGGGGATGGGGCCGGTGCCCAGGGGTCTCAGGACTCAGCCCCTTGTCTCCTCCACACAGACAACAGCAAAGGGGCTGCCCCGGCGGGTGCCCCCAGCCCCAGAGGTGGATCCAGCTGTGCAGGTGAGCGGGGCGCAGGGCACCCACCCCGCAGCCTGCAGCCGGGCTCCCAGCCCGCACCTCACCGCGCTCTCCCTCTCCAGATGCGCAACGGCTCCGGCTGCGTCTGCCCCGTGCGCCCCGGCCCTCCCGGCCCCCCCGGCCCCAAGGTGCGGTGATCCTCCCCGGGGACACACGGGGGCACAGGGACCCATAGGGACACACGGGGGCACAGAGATCCATAGGGACACACGGGAGCACAGGCATCCATAGGGACACACCGGGAGGAATCCTGAGGCTCTTTTGGCCGTGCACAGTTTTCCGCTCGTATTTGGACTCTTGCCTCGGGGTCTGGGTGCGGGACAGAGCTGGTGGTCCCTGGCAGGGGGCAGCAGGTCCCCGCGGTGGGCACTGATGGAGGAGAACACCAGGAGCCGGAGCCAGGCTCTATCTTTTCCAAACAGGGAGAGAAAGGCGACCGAGGATCCCCGGGGGAGAGAGGCCAGCCAGGGCTCTCTGGGGAGAGAGGGAAGTCGGGCAGCCCAGGGCAGCCGGGTCACCAGGGACCCCGGGGTCCCCCAGGTCCTCCGGGACCCCCGGGACCCCCAGGCACTTGGGGATCCAGGAGCCAGCCTGCACCCGCCCTCCTTCCCAAGGGATCCGAGAACGAGGTGAGCGCTCGGGCAGGTTGATTCCAGGGCGGGGGGGGGCTGACAGTGGTGTCAATGCCCAGCAGGGATGGGGAGGGATGGGGAGCATGGCTGTGGGCAGCCCAGGGGATGGGAGCAGCAGATGGGAATAGGGGATGGGAATAGGGGATGGGATGCTGCCATTCACTAACTCCACTCTCTCTTTCTCCCTCCAACCCAACAAGCATCTGGGAGCATCCAGCCCGGTGGGAAACCCAGGACCCCCAGGTCCCCCAGGGCTGCCCGGACCCCCAGGCTACCCAGGCCACGAAGGCCCCCCAGGGGTCCCTGGGCGGGATGGGCAGCCAGGACCCCCCGGCCCACCTGGGGCTGTGGGACCCCCTGGTTTCCCTGGGGCTGAAGGACCTCCGGGATCTCCAGGCTTGGCTGGGACAGATGGATCCCCGGGGGCACCGGGGCTCCCAGGGCCCCAAGGTCCCCCCGGGGTGCCTGGGC